TTCTTTATTGTCAGATGTCTGCATATTGCTGATTAAACCTACTAAACATTTTTAACTGTGCCCTGTTAATGAGTCCTCCAGGTGTAACCTTGCAACTGCTAAGACGTCTCTGATGGTACAGGGCCATTGAGGGAAAGATTATCTGCCTTGTAAGCGATGCTGCAAAATATATGACAGCCACTGCCAGACATGTATCCATAAGGCATGTTGTGTGCATTGCACATGCACTAAATTTAGTGGTTAAAAATCTCTAAATCAAACACCTGGCCTAGAGGAACTGCACAGAAAGTGGTGGCCTATTTTAGATCAAGCATGACTGCTGACCTAAAACAGGCACTAGAACAGCATCTTCTTGATGCTACAGCAATCATATGAGAGGCAGACAGTTGGAGAAGTTCTGGCATCACTCAGAAGTCAATCCTCTTCTAAGGGCCATGAAAAAAACAGCACTGGCTTCACAGTGATCAACCCATTTTAAATGCCAACAGTGGAAATGTCCCAGCAGAAGAAAGTCATGGGGTCAATGTTCATTCCATTCATAAAAATATTGCTTCATACGACTCAGGAAATACAGGGCAATACCACCAATGTGACAGAAAACCAACTGGGAAAGAACATGTCTGCAACCCTTTGACAAGACCCTACACCCTAGAGAGCTCAGCTGTCACTGTCCACACTGCTTCATCCAAGATTTAAAACCATTAGTTTCCTCAGTGAAGACAAAGCACACAATGCAGTGTGACGACTGACTGCTGAATGTGCAGCTCATGAGGCACACACTGGAGAGATCTACTGATCACCCATCGACATCACCTGCACCTCAACGAGTAGCACCAAATGAACAAAATCCATCCGCCACAGGTAATGTCACGAATAGTTTATTATTAATATGAAGGAGAAAATTAGTTCAATTCCAGTTTAATTGTATTTATATAACCCCAAATCACAACAACAGTTACCTCGAGGTCATTTATATGGTAAGGTAAAGACCCTACAAAAAACACCAAATAAGTAAAAACATAAAAATTAAAACCTTTCAGTACACATTGGTGTGATGTTACTCAGTCTTTCAGCTTTTAACCATTGGAAAAATCTTGATGAACAAGATACTAAGATGTCAGTGGCCAAGCAGCCAAGAAGACAGGGAGTCCCTTCAAAACCCCTAGACTAGCCAGGGGACGTGACAGGGGTAATCTTCAAAATGTGGATTTTATTGTACCCCAAAAAAGACTAGGTTACTTCAAAAATACACAATCACGAAAATAAGTTGTTTTAAGAATTAAGTGGGATCGTACACAGAATTCTACAATGTATAAAATATAACTCAACAAAGTGACCTGCACAAATGAGAGACCGCTCAACCTATATAGCAACTTTAAACATCAAAGGTGGAAACCACAGAGACAATAGCTAAACATAATACAAGAATAATCCCCCGTCTAATTTGGTAAATTAACTGGATGCAAAAAATTAGACAGAAGGGTAAACATGAATGAATATTACCAAATTATTTCAGTTGTGTGGTTGTGAAAATCATCACTTATGAGAAGAGTACACAGGAAATCAGATTCTTTTCAGCCATGGCTCTAATCGATCTGGAGAAGTTGCAATTTGTTTCAATAAATTCCCAGGGGGAATTATAAAACCGATGAAGAGGATCATTGGGTAACTCAGTGGTTCCCAAACATTTTTCACTTGGCCTCCCTTTGTTTTCCAAAAGCCCGCCCGCCCCCCCTGCACAATTATGCAAATAAAAGTAAAATGCAATAAAGTACAGGTATCAGTATAATAAACTACTACACCATTTACACTACTTCCACATCTACACAGGAATTTTTGAAAATGGGGTTTTTGTATGGGCCTTTTATCCACACATAAACGGTGTTTTGAATCACTGAAAACTGAAAAAGAACTCTTGCCATGATTTGCGATTACCTGTGGACGAAGAATACAGAGATTTAGTCACACAATGTCCAAGGTGTGTTCTTTTTTGATGTCACACTGTGCGCTATGTTATTGTTTACATGCTATGAATTTCTACAATGATGAATTGTACCACGATAAGGTAGCCGAGTGTGAAGCAGCGGGAATGAGGATCAGCACCTCCAGATCTGAGGCCATGATTCTCAGCTGGAAAAGGGTGGAGTGCCCACTCCGGGTCGGGGATGAGTTCCTGCCCCAAGTGGAGGAGTTCAAGTATGTTCTAGGATGAATATAGACAAAATACAAATGGCCCCCTCACTTGGAAAGATGAGAGACTTTACCATAAAATTGTGCAAGGAACTGAACAGGGAAAAACACAATTTACTTTGGGAAATAACTTGATTGGGACTGTCTTGTTACTGGGAAATGTTTTATTCACAAATGTAGACATTTCAAAGCTAAACCATGTATTAACAG